AAGCATATTCCTTAGGAGATAAGGATTACAACAATAAAGGGGATGATTATCCTAATCCTATAATGATTAGGATAACTACAACATATGGATAAATACAAGGGAGGATAATGACAAGTCTTGGCCGCCTGATCTTGGGACTGAAGTAGACTGATGTGGTCTGGTCCATTTCCGGATATGTCCCAACCACCATTTCTTAACAGAGAGTTAATAATCGAGCTGTCAAAATAATATTTTTAGTCATTTTAGTTACTCCTCAAATCCTACTTTTATTTTCATCAAATATTCGATCGAGCTTCTGTTATCATTTTATGAAGTTAACCTTCTCTTGTGAAATTTCAATAAGTTTTACCGACCACAGAAATATTTATTTCATGGAATCTTTTTTTTGTTCAGCTTTTTAGACATTTTGGAGTCCATAGGAAACATTACACCTAACAAAAAAGTCCCCACGTTTACATAGTTTAAAGAATAATAACATCGCTGTTCCAAACCCCGTTGTTCTTCCACGATGGTGGCAGAAAGCCCTCTGTTTTCTCCGACAAAACATATTCGTTCAAAAAAGCCTGCAAGTATATAATTATGAAATGATGATTTTAACGTTATATCTTTATAAGCGAGGAAATGCTAACGTTAATAAGAGGCACTGTAAGTTGGAAGTTGTTTACCTGCATTATAATGTTACAGAATTTAAAAATTGTGTAAGTGGCGTTATTAGATATCCTCCCAAATGGAGTAAGAAGTCTACTCCCCACTGATTTTGAGGCTACTAAATTAGGAAGAGTGATAAAATTCATTTAAAAGACCGACTCCAGGCAAAGGAAGACTACGTACAGTCTAGGTCAAAAATGTATTTATCAAATACATGATACCCGCGCAACAAATACGAATCACGTCTTATTACTGCTGAATATATCTATAGAGTCAAAATTGCTAACGAGAAGATTGACTAACCTGATATTAAGATATTGTTTGTAATCCCCAATTATTATAAATATAAGGTAAACCCATTAAGTTCGTTAGTTGGTAGGGGCGAATCACATTGATGGCTCACTTTTCTTTCTTATAATAAATACAAATTCTTAGGTGTACTTTGAGTGATTCAAGTGTCACATGATACCACACTTATTTGTTCAAAACATCCTTAATTGCAATATTTTATGCAATTCTTACAATCATTTTTTAAAATTGTAATTAGATTAATCTTTTGGATTACTTATTAGAAGAGTATAGTCGAACTTTATTGCCAAATGAAGAGTGCTATAAGCAGAACGTATTCGATTCCATTCAAAATAACGAATGAAAGCAATTTGAATCATAACTGTTTTTTGTTTTGGACGCGGTTTCGAGACTTTGACACTAAGAAAATGTGAATATGGTATGTACATGCTGAATACATGTCCACCTTTCCCTCTCACGGTGACGGTCCACAACAATTTGGCAGTCTTCCAATTTCCATTTCTATCACTGTATGCCTCTTTTTTCTTTTGGCAGCCACTAATATTACTTTTCTTTTGTGGGTCAAAACCAGTTATATCACTAAATGCTAATCTAGTAATCTACACATTTTATATAATTTTCACTAAATATCCAAATTCAGAATAATTTGAAAGACACCAACTATTGGTTATGGTACGAAAATGATGTGTAACCAATAACAAGAATGATTTTGATAAGCATCTTGAAAATAATTATGTTGGGTTTTACAACTAATCAAAATAATCCATTGCAAAAATGGATTGGCTATAACCTTTCCTGATCTATAATCTTCCAACCAATATGAAGGGGATACAGAAAGTGATTTTGATAATTATCTGACGTATAGTTGAAACATATTTGCAAATTGAATTTTAGTTTGGTTTAAATTTGTTTTAAAAGTTTTAGATATATAAAATAATAAAAGTATACAAATTTTAAACCATACTTTTTTTATTGGTTTCTTCAGTTGTGCTGGGTTGGATTGATTTGGTTATCCGGATTAAACACCTTTTCATAGATTTTTTTATATATTTATTTAACTAATTGATTTTTTTCATGGTGAGATCTAAATTATGAGAACTAATTCTTTATAAAGGGTTTGTGGAAGTGTAGGGCCTTTGCACCAATAGTGGACTATGAAACCATACACCCATAGCTATTGTGGGCTTTAGTTAGTTAAGACATGGATCCAAAAACCCGCTCCATATTACTTTTGTTGAATTGAAGACGGCAACACCATGTAATCAATTAATAGACTTTTCTTATTTTCGTCTACTCAGGTTCAAATTTTTGATGATTTTTGTTTTTTTTAACGAATCACTTTCATAGGCTGCCTCTCTGTCTTTGGGAGTGACAGTCTACCAACTGATAATAGAGTGAAATCTGGTTAGGATTTAGGTAATCTCACAACTTATCTCTCTCTAGGATATTTTTCTTCTTATGATATCTAGACTTACAAGATTTTGTACTTGTGGTAATGTTTTTGTCAGTTAAAAAGAGAATCAATTCTAGACTCTAGTTGTGTTTCAAAAAAAAAAATTCTAGACTCTAGTAAACCAAAAGTGGTTATGTAGCACACCGTTGATAAGGTGCAATAAATATCTGGATATGACAGCTTCAAGATCCAACAACATCAGTAAGTAAGACAATAATAATCATAAATATGCCCATATGTCATCCTGACCCAGCCCACTGCTTTATTGATTGTCCTTTTTACCCTTTTACATTGACAACGTGCGACAAGTACCTCGCGTTTAATACACTGCCTTTATATATTTCTGAATATAAACCATATATCAATTTGTTAAAAAAAAAAACCATATATCAAATCTTCTGTTCATAAGATCTTAAGACGGCAAGCATGTAAAAATAGTAATTGTGTATAGCTCAAAAAACAAAAAGTAGAACCATGTTTATATTGTATTGACTCTAGTAATGTTCTTGCTCTCTCAGTCACCTTTCAGTCTAAAATTTCAAAAAAGCTCACAAGAAAGAAGCAAATAAAGTAAACTTTATAAGTGGCAGTTGTGTAAATATGTAGTCCACATATGGGCATTTTTTTACATTGTAGAAAAGTCATAAATAAAAACTTTTCGGGGAAATCTAAATAAACACATGCACATCGCATCGAACCGAACATACAGATTTGCTCTGTCTTCGAAACACTTAAATATATAAACAGCTCAATTGAATTGTCTCGGGAACAAAAACTCAAGTCTTTCAAAGTTCGATCAAGTTTCAACTTTTATTAATTTATAAAACAAATTTTGATCATATCTGAGTTTTCGATCACCGGAGAGAGAAATGGAGACACCGAGGTCCGTCGGCGAGGCGTCGACGACTAACTTCGTGGTTGCACGACCGTCTGCGAAGACTGATGATGCGGTGACGATGAAAGGCTGCGGTTTCGGTAGCCTCGCGTGTGTCGGTGTAGACAGAGAGGAGCTTCGTCGGAGGATAGTGATGCCTGAGTATCTCCGCCTCGCCATGCGAGACTGCATCAAGAGGAAAGACTCAACCGCAGTTCCGGACCTTTTGGTACTTCCCGGCGGCGGCGCCGCCACGGAGGAGTTAGCTCCTCATGCACCGATGGTTGTGTTTATTAACCCTAAAAGTGGAGGTCGTCATGGACCTGTACTTAAAGAGAGGCTTCAACAGTTAATGAGCGAAGAACAGGTCAGTGTTCTTGTTGTGGACATTAAAGATCGTTAACTTTTGAGCTCATCTTACTTTTAACTTTGTATTTAGATTGAAATGAACTTGCTTCATGGTTCTGGGTTATTACTTCTTTATTTGTATGAAGAGGATTTTAAATCTAGATTTGGGTTTAGATTGTAAATGGAATCAGTCTGATCTCAAGTAGGATGGTATTAGTTGAATGTATGTGGGTTTGAGAGCTACCACATTCTTGTTAGTGTTATGTCATAATCAAATCTTGTCTGATTCTAGTTACTTGGAAGTTATACATCTATTTTGACTTAAAAGATTCTGATTCCTAACTCAAACTAGTTTCTTGGTACTTGAAAAAAGTTTAAACTTTTCTTGTCATACTAAAGGCAGAAACTTTATTTGACTTGAATTGTTGTTTCTGTTTGAAGAGTAGAATAATTTGGGGAAGTTTTTTTTTTTTCTTTTTGCTTTTCCTGATAACTGTACTTGCTTTGTGAGCTCATGGTGGTTGTGCAACTACAGGTATTTGATCTCACAGAAGTGAAACCCCATGAATTTGTACGGTACGGGTTGGCATGTTTAGAGACACTTGCAGCGAAAGGAGATGAATGCGCAAGAGAGTGCAGAGAAAGGATGCGAGTCATGGTGAGTAATACATATACATATTTTAACCTTTTAGCAATGTGAATGAGAATTGGATCTGTTAAGTTAGTTGGCAATGACGATGATGATGATAGGTAGCAGGTGGTGATGGTACAGTTGGTTGGGTTCTTGGGTGTCTCGGTGAGCTTCACAAAGAAGGAAAATCACATATCCCTCCCGTTGGTGTCATTCCTCTCGGTACAGGAAACGACCTCTCTAGGAGTTTTAACTGGGTGAGTGAGTCTAGTAATTTTTCTCTTAATGAGCCATCACATTGAACAACTATTCTCTCGTATCTCTCTTTAGGGTGGTGCATTTCCTTTTGCTTGGAGATCTGCTATGAAAAGGACATTACATCGAGCAACTCTAGGCCCTGTTGCTAAATTAGATAGCTGGAGTATTGTAGTGTCGATGCCATCTGGAGAAGTGGTGGATCCTCCTTATTCTTTGAAGCCTTCAGATGAAACTGCACTTGACCAGGGTTTGGATGCTGATGGGGATGTACCTCCTAAAGCAAAGTCCTATGAAGGAGTGTTCTACAACTACTTCAGCATAGGTAATTTACTCTTTTCAGTATCCTTGTACACATTTTATTTTATTTTCTGAGGTAACACTTGTATTGCTTTGTTAAGGTATGGATGCTCAAGTTGCATATGGGTTTCACCATCTTCGCAATGAGAAGCCATATCTAGCTCAAGGTCCTGTTACAAATAAGGTTGTTATATGTCTGTTATAACGTGAATGTTTCACTAATTAGCTGATTTTGTTGGGTTTATAATGAGCTTATGAATCACATTGCAGATTATTTATTCAAGTTACAGTTGCACTCAAGGTTGGTTTTGCACACCTTGTGTCAGCAATCCAGGTTTAAGGTTAGTATTTCAAGTGAAGAGCTTCTTCTGAGTTTTACTCATCTCTCCTAGCTTTTGTTGTGTTGTTGACATGTTGTGGTAAGATGTATTTTGTAGGGGACTAAGAAACATAATGAAAATCCATATTAAAAAGGCAAATTGCTCAGAATGGGAAGAGATCCTGATTCCTAAAAGGTACATTAAGTTTAATTACATTGGTTAAAAAAACGTTACCATTCAGTTTTACAATCTCTCTGTTTTGGTTTTGTGTATAGCGTGAGATCCATTGTGGTATTGAATCTTGATAACTATGGAAGTGGAAGACATCCATGGGGTAATCTGAAACCAAACTATCTAGAGAAGGTAATGTTTTGTTTCTTTGCGTGCTGTTCAAGCTTCAACGAAATAGGTTTTCATTTTTGTTTGGTTGACAGAGAGGATTTGTGGAGGCGCATTGTGATGACGGGCTGATCGAGATTTTTGGTTTGAAGCAAGGTTGGCATGCGTCATTTGTAATGGCTCAAATCATCACGGCTAAACACATTGCTCAGGTACAGAAAGCACTCTGCCCTCGGTTCTGTCCCGGTTTAGCCTCGGTTTCATAATGACCGGTTTTATCAATATTTTCAGGCTGCTGCAATTAGGTTTGAACTAAGAGGAGGTGACTGGAAAGATGCGTTTTTGCAAATGGATGGTGAGCCATGGAAGCAACCGATGAAAACAGATTATTCTACTTTTGTGGAGATCAAAAAAGTTCCTTTTCAGTCGCTAATGATCAATGGTGAATGATCTGTGCATTTTCCAGAGGTTTGCTGAGATGATGTGATAGAAAAAGAGGATCCTGATTCTATTTGTATTTTTATTAATTAGTCAAAATAGCCATATCTGTTCAGCTTCTTGCTCTCTTGTTGTTGCTGTTGTTGTTGTTGTTGTTGTTGTGTCTATGAAGAATTGTATTTGTAGAAGGGATTGTAATTTATGATGAAGTTTCAGTATCTATTAAAAAATAGTCAAGTTTCAAGCAATCATTTGAAGGTGGTCTTTTTCTTGAAATCTTGTAAACTTGTCATGTGTAATATGCGTATCCATGTCTTTTCTTCTACTGTGATGTAATCAATCTTAGTGATAACATTGAGAATGAAAGGATCCTGTGATCTAACTATTCTATGGGATGGTTAATAATTCTTGTTCCCCATGAGCCCTATACGAGCTCGTTCACACAAACACAAAAATTAAATCTCTAGAAGATAAAGTAGCTGTAGATTAATATGTATATAATCTCTAGAAGAAAAAGCAACCGATGAAAACTGTTTATTGTCCAAAATTTAAGATATGTATATAATTACTTAGTCTTATTAACCACAAGAGATGGCCCCTCACTGCCTCACCGAAACATACATAAGAAAACGTCGGAAAACAATCGTTGTGTGGTTTACCCACCGGACGTTCAAACTTGAACCAATAAAATATAATATTGTATTCAAAAAGAACGAATATAAAAAACTCACTAACAACTTCTTTTGTATGAGTTTTTTTTATGTGAGATATACAAATGGATCGTCATACTCAATAAGGCTTCACCCCAAGAAAATTCCCCGGTGGATCGTAATTGCAAGCGAATATCACGCCGCGTCCACCATTACAAATCACGTGAGCGCAGCCAATCCTCTGCGTGTTCTTCCACACAATCTGCGTGTAATGGCCACACATCTCAGCCCTACACGAGTTAGAGTAATAGTTATAGCTTCTTGCTTCCGACAACCATCCATTAGCGGCTTGAACCGGGCTCCACCTTTTGCCTGAGCCCCAGAATAGATTCTCACCGTATGGTCCATTCGAATGGATCAAGGCGCAGTCACGGCGTCTCTGGTTGGCCCACCATTGCGCGTAGCGGGCTAGTTTGGGGTCCCACCTTAGCGGTTTGAGCCTCAAACGAGCTCTTGCTACGTTTTGCGGACCCATGAATTGTTGTTGGTAGTTTGCAGCATCAACGCATTGAATACATGCTACGAATAGTAGTATGAGAGCCCCGATTGCAGCAGAAACACCATGAATGTGTTTAGGAGAAGCCATTGCGCGTGAAGCTTGACCTAATGGTTATTGCTTGGTTTTATTATATAAGCTTCAAACCGTGAAGATAATTTTGTTTTTCTGTTTTTATATAGTAAAAGAGGGTTTTAGTGATGAAATTTCAACTCTTTGATTAGTGGTGTACATGTTCGATTATGATAGTCACATTTGAATTTGTTTTGAATTCTTAGATTTGGTATATAACTAAGCATGTATTATAATAGTTTATATATGCTTAACGTATATTTTATGCATAGTAGGTATATATTATATTGTAGACCCCCAAAAAGTCTTGGGAGGCGAGAAGATTTAAAGTAAAGAACTTTTCGTTAATTGTATACAGTTATTTAAATAAACGATAATCGTTTTAAAGTTTTAACTAAGTCAGCCGGCAGTGTTTAGAAATGAAGTTATGTTTTAATTTATTAAAATACCATTTGACATTTTATATAACTTATGTTGATCAGGACACTAGGCAAGAGCTTGGGACATGATGGTACGATGAGACTATTGTTGTTCTGTAGAGGTCACGATAGATTACGGTATTTTGCAGCGTGATACTTCTTGAGTTCTTAACCTTAGGGTTTGATGATGAATGAACCACCTAAAATCCCATCACATGCAATTGACGCATAAATGATTCTGTGTCAAGTTATCAGCTCCTCCGAAGCTAAGAACTTTTTGTTTATGTTGGTTTTGTCCGTTTGTCGGTTGGGTTTGCTTCCTCTTTCTCTTTTGTGTTGATTTGGATTTTTTTTTTTTTCTACTTGTTATCTATGTTACTTCTGTCACAAAGGAAAATTTAGTATCAAATTTAACATTTGCTCCAAATAAATAAAATTGACGCATAAATGACCTGAATATATATATTTTTTTTGTGTGTGGAAACTGACCTGAATTTTAGTGCTCCCAAAAGAACATAGTCTCATACTGGGGAGGACTAATGGGACAGCCTGCCAGTTTCACCAGCCAATATACTTTTTTTTTTTTTTTTTTGTGGGCAACCACCAGCCAATATACCTATCTAATGAGATTACGACGTTTGGTGTGTGGGTGATTATACATCGTTTTTTTGTCGGTCCGCTGTAGCATCGTTATGTATTGATAAAAATCTATTTCTGTTTAGGGCTCAGTTTGCTCTTACCTGGATTTGTGTTATATGTTATTAACATTGAGGCAGAATGATTCATTTTAATTTTCAGATCATTAAACGTATGCCAGAGAAAAAGATCAGTTTTTATTTTCCTAAAAAAAAATTGGAAAAAAAGTTCAATTAAAAGGATATAAGTAATATTTTTTTAAAAAAAAAAATCTCATTTACAAAAAAAAAAAAATATTTTAAAAAAATCATTGAAGTTAGGCAAAACTTAGAAAAGAGACACATTAAGTTCTGTATTTATCTCTTTATTCTTTTATTTTTACTTTTGCCAAATTATGACTAAATTAATATTAAGTAAATCTAATAAATCTGCAATTTTTTTTATTTTATAAAGATAAATTTCAGTTACTTTTTATTTTAGATATAGTTAGAAGTAAGCAGAAATAAAATCTTCAAATTTTATTACTTTCATATATTCAGTATATTATTTTCTCTTTTTTTTTTAATGGTTTGAGATTTAATTGTTTATATTTTAAATTATTTAGAAATTATTAGAAATAAAATCTGCCAATTTTATAACTTTCAAAATCCTCTATATTATCTTCTCTTCATCCTTTAATGTCTTGAGATTTACCTGTACTCATGCGTTGATTTTGTTTAGAAAAGAGATATAAAAGAGTCTTCACAATTTGATTTTCTTGGGTCCATATAAAAGCTTATTGTACTCTTTCAAGACATTGAAGTTTAACACAATATATTTAGGGTTTCTCATCGACAAGTGATTCTCAATGAATATGATCCGCGAAGATGAACCACCGAAGTTTAACACAAACACCAATCCTCCATCCCCCCTCAATCAACAACCTTATTTGTTTTCTTCACTCCCAGATGAAATCGTTGAGAACATTCTTGCTCGTATCTCCAAGTGGGATTACCCTAAACTCTCTCTCGTCTCCAAGAGATTCCTCTCTCTCCTCTCTTCTCCTGAACTCTACACGACACGATCTCGCATCAGAACCACAGAGCTATGCATCTATATCTGCACGGGACGTCTAGACCTTGGTTTTAAATTGTTCGCTCTTTGGACGAAACATGCTCATGTCGAAACCTTAACCGATGATCTTCCAATATATAACGAATATTCGCTGGTTCCCGTTCCTCATGAATCTTCTCTCGTACCATTTATGGATCGCGCTAGTGCAGTGGTTGTTGGTTGGGAAATCTACTTATTCGGCGCCACGACGTTCTCTGACCCGCCTTCTTCATCTGTTCGTATTCTTGATTGTCGGAGTCACACGTGGCGTGATGGCCCTAGCATGTTGGTGGCTCGAAGGTGTCCTTATGTTGCTTTTCTGGATGAGAAAATATATGTATTCGACGGTTGCGGGGAAGATGATACTTGGATGGAAGTGTTGGACTTGAAGACCAAGACTTGGAGCCCCTTGCTTAGACATAGAGATGCTGTGCTAGAAGGGGATTGGTTAAATACCGTTGCGCTGGAAGGAAAGATTTACGTAATTACTCAAACAAACTACTACTATGCTTATAACCCAAAAGAAGGTACGTGGGAAGTCGTGGAAATACACGATATTAACACTGACTTGAGATATGAAGGAAAATGGTGTGTGAGTGTGATAGAGGGTGTAATGTATAGTTATTCATACCACTCGGGTAATCTAGTCTGGTATGATTCCAAATGTAAGAAATGGATAGACGTCGAGATCTCGAATTTTGAACTATTAATGTGTAACGGGCGTGTGATTAAAATACTCAACCACGGTGGGAAACTTTTAGTTATGTGGCTCTATAGGGGTGAGGAATACGACGGGATACAGGAATTGAAAATTAGGTGCGCAAAAATCGTCTTAGAGAAGCGCCGTGGAAATGAGGTTTGGGGTGAGATAGAATGGCCTGGTACTGAGTTTAAGATCCCCCAGTCGTCTGAAAAGTTTAATGCTCTAGTCATTTCGATTTGAAGATATGGTGTATTTGAACAAGTTCATCTTACTAATCGTTGTGTTCTTCTGAAATGAGCATGTTTTTTTTTTTGGTCTCTCATGAGAATAGTTTGAGATCTATAATAATTTTCATATTATATGCATCATTTTTTTTTTGATCAAAATTATATGCATCGTTATTGTCACAATATTAAGTTGTAATGCTTTTAGAAAGATTTTCATATCAGCACTGAGAAAGGACTATGGCCTCTTCTTATGTCCTAAGTTTGGGTTCAGTCATGCAACTTGAACCTTTGGACTTCTCAGCTGAAAATTGGAATGATAAAGGCTTTGTCGATGAACATCAACTAGGAGATAGCTCTGGAAAATCACTTTCATCGCCTTAATATTAACATTTGGCAATAGTCGTGTGATGCAACGAGAGAGTTGATAAAACATGGTATACTTCAACAACGAACATATTTCAAACCGAGTACATGAAACTTTCAGTCAAAAAAACTCTTATCCTAAAATTCAAGAAATGCGCTCTCATTTACCACAGTTAAAAATTTCCTTGCTGTGATATATTAACGCAATAGACCCGAATTTAAGAATGTACTTCAATGTGTATGACTTACTGTTACGTTATAGGTGGGCTAGGTTTGAAATTAATAAAACACAGGCGAACTTCTCTATAGGCGGTGCTCAAGAGTCGAAGCCGCGTTGACATATCAAAACATTGGAACCAGACAAGTTGATAAACAAGGAAATAATGATATTCATATTGATGGTTTTAGTGATGCAATTTCAACTCTGTGATTAGTGGCGTACATGTTCGATTATGATAGTCACATTTGAATTTGTTTTGAATTCTTAAATTTTGTATATAACTAAGCATGTATTATAATAGTTTATATATGCTTAACGTATATTTTATGAATAGTAGGTAGTTAAATATTAATATTGTTGACCACCCCAAAAAAGTCTTGGGAGGCAGAGAAGATTTTAAGTAAAGAACTTTTCATAGTATAATATTATTTAAATAAGGATAATTGTTTTTTAACTAAGTCAGCCGGCAATATTTGTTATTTAGAAAATAATTAGATTTTGACCCGCTCAACCGAACGGGTGTTTAATTTCACATATATATATATATATATATTTACATCATTATTGGTATATATTTTGAGTAATATTCATATGTTTAAATGTTTATTTAGTGTTTTTTTTGTTAACCAAATGTTCATTTTCTAATTACAATGAACTGATATCTATTTATTTTTTAAAATCTAATATATTTTTAAAAACAGATTCTAAAAGATTCTGTTAGAATTCTCTTTAAAATATTTATTTTATTTCAAATAAAAGAAAAGATATCAAAAGATATTGTAATAAAGTTATATAAAATGTTTTTAAAATATAAATGAATCATTATTTTCTAGGAATTGTCCATTTTTAAAAATATCACACATGAAGAGAAATTGTGACTTCTCGATTATATTTCAATTTATTATTACCATTTGACATTTTATATAACTGGCAGTATAGATTCAAAGTTGTTATTAATAAATACATTCGGCTGGAATTATGTTGGGCCCAGCAAATGAGATAAAACACGTAAAAGTCATATAGTCAATCAAAACTGTGACTCTATTGCACTAAATGATCAACTATGAACACTACATTTTATGCTGATTATCAGCAAGTGCAATCAATTCAAAGCCTAGTTTTATTATTCTAGAGTACTACTATACAAGGTTTGATGATGAATGTACCCACCTGAAGTTTCATCACAATTGACGCATAAATTACATGATAAATGTATGAATTTGGGTACTCAAAGCAATGAAGTTAGATAAGCGTATACTCGTCCAGCTGCGTTCAAAGCTTTCATAGCATCATGGAGACTATGATAGTTCTTAGCAATAACCGCTCCAAGAATATTGCTGCTCCCAGAAGATCACAGACCTTCTAGGGGAAGAATAAGCGAACAACCAGCCAGTTTCACCAGTCAATAAACCTATCCAATGAGATTAGTAATACGTTTTTTTGTGTGTGGATGATTATACATCGTTTTCTTGTCAGTCCTCTGTCGCATCTTTATGTTAGTTGATATAAATATATCTCTGTCCAGGGCTCAGTTGATTGTTGCTATCTGGATTTATGTATGTTATCAGAGGCGGATCCACACAATTTTTTGTTTTTTCTTAAGTAATTCAACCAAAATTTATTTATATACCCCTAAATTACCTGTCTGCTTGAGTATGTACCTCATACTACTCTAGATCAGCCCGAGGCAGAATGTATCATTTTCAGCTCAATAAACGTATGTCCAAGAATGTTACAAGAAAAAAACAAAAAAACGTATGTCCATGAAAATACCAATGGAGTTCTATGTAGTTTTTTATTTATTTAATTTCAGTGTGTTATTCATAAAAATTTAAAAAGACACGTTCAATTAAAAGGATATCAAATGCAGAATGATTCATTTAAATATCCCAGCTCATTAAACGTATGCCAAAGAAAAAAAAAACAATGGGAATTTTATGTAGCTTTTTATTTCAGCTTGTGTATTCATAAAAAATCGGAAAGCACGTTCAATTAAAAGGATATCAAATGCAGATGATCCATTTTAATTTTCAATTCATTAAACGCATGCCCAAGAAAATACCAATGGAGTTTTATGTACTGTAGTTTTTTAATTTCAGTTTGTCTATGCATAAAAAATTGGAAAGAGACATTCAATTAAAAAGATATCAAATCATTAATAAAACAATTAAAGTTAGGAAAAACTTAGAAAAGGGACACATTAAGTTCTGTATTATCTCTTTAATTTTTTTTATATAAATTTTCCCAAGTTATGACTAAATTAATATTAAGTAAATCTATTAATTCTGCAATTTTTGTTTTAGAAAGAGAAGTTTTAATTATAACTCCTATTTTAAATTATTTTGAAGTAAATAGAAATAAAATCTGCAAAATTCATTTCAAGTATCCACTATATTATTTTCTCTTCTTTTTTTTTACTGTTTTGAGATTTTTAAACAAATTATTTAGAAATAAGTAGAATAAAATATGCCAATTTTATAACTTTCAGATCTCCACTATATTATTTTCTCTTCATTCTTTAATGTCTTGAGATTTATCTGTACTCATGCATTGATTTGTTTAGGAAAGAGTCTTCATAATTTGGTTTTACTGGGTCCGTATAAAAGCTAATTGTAGTCTTTCAAGACTTTGAAGTTTAAGACAACATATTTTCTCAAAACATATATTTAGGGTTTCTCACTTTCTCCCATCGACAGGTATAGTTCTCGATGAATATGATCCGCGAAGATGAACCACCGCAGGAAAATGAGAACACCAATCCTCCACCGCCGGTCAAACAACAACCTGATTCGTTTTCTTCACTGCCAGATGAAATCGTAGAGAACATTCTTGCTCGTATCTCCAAGTGGGATTACCCTAATCTCTCTCTTGTCTCCAAGAGATTCCTCTCTCTCCTCTCTTCTCCTGAACTCTACACGACACGATCTCGCATCGGAACCACAGAGCCATGCATCTATCTCTGCATGGAACGTATCAAAGACCTTGGTCTTGAATGGTTCACTCTTTGGACGAAACATGCTCATGTCGAAACCTTAACCGATGACCATGTTCAAGAAGATGATCTTCCAATATATAACGAATATTCGCTGGTTCCCGTTCCTCATGAATCTTCTCTCGTACCATTTATGGATCGCGCTAGTGCAGTGGTTGTTGGTTCGGAAATCTACTTATTCGGCGCCACGACGGTCTCTGAGCCGCTTTCTTCATCTGTTCGTATTCTTGATTGTCGAAGTCACACGTGGCGTGATGGCCCTAGCATGTTGGTGGCTCGAAGGTGTGCCAATGCTGTTTTTCTCGATGAGAAAATATATGTATTCGACGGTTGCGGGGAAGATGATACTGGGATGGAAGTGTTGGACTTGAAGACCAAGACTTGGAGCCCCTTGCTTAGAGACAGAGATGCTGTGCTAGAAGAGCATTGGTTGAAGACCGTTGTGCTTGAAGGAAAGATTTACTTAATCACTCACACAAACTACTACTATGCTTATGACCCAAAAGAAGGTACGTGGGAAGTCGTGGAAGTACACGGTAATAACTTGGGTATAGGCCAATTGTACTGTGTGAGTGTGATAGAGGGTGTAATGTATAGTTATTCAAGAAACTCGCGTAATCTAGTCTGGTATGATTCCAAATGTAAGAAATGGTTAGACGTCAAGATCTCGAATTTTGAACTATTAATGTGTAACGGGCGTATAGTTAAAATACTCAACCACGGTGGGAAACTTTTAGTTATGTGGATCTACAAATTTAGGGAATACGGTGGGACACTGGAATGGAAATTTAGGTGCGCAAAAATCGTATTAGAGAAGCGCCGTGGAAATGAGGTTTGGGGTGAGATAGAATGGCCTGTTACTGAGACTAAGCCCTCCGAGATGTCGAGATATAATGCTCAAGTCATTTCGATTTGATGATTCCTGAAAGATGATGTGTTTGAATAAGTTGATCTTACTAGTCGTGTGTTCTAATTCTGAAATGAGCACGTTGTTTTTATGGTCGTCTCTCATGATAATAGTTTGAGTCTTTGAGATAAATAACTTAATATTATTATTTTATATTATATGCATCATTATTATCACAATATTAAGTTGAAATGCTTTAGAAACATTTTCATATCAGCACTGAAAAGGAGTATGGCCTCTTATGTACTAAGTTCGGGTTCAGTCGTGGACCTTGAACCTTGGACCTCTCAGCTGAAAATTGGTTTGATAAAGGCTTTCTCGGTGGACATGTTCAATTCAGAGCTATCACTTTCATCGTCTTTTTGATCTACTTCTAGTATTAACATTTGGCAATAGTCGTGTGATGCAACGAGAGAGTTGATAAAACATAGTATACTTCAACAACGAACATATTTCAAACTGAGTACATGAAACTTTCAGTAAAAAAAAACTCTTATCCTAAATTCAAGAAATGCGCTCTCTTTTACCACAGTACAATTTCCTTGCTGTAATGATATAATAACGCAATAGACACCAATTCAAGGATACTTCAATGTGTATGACTTACTGTTACGTTATAGGGGGGCTACGTTTGAAATTAATAAAACACAAGTGAACTTCTCTATAGGCGGTGCTCAAGAGTCGAAGCCGCGTTGACATATCAAAACATTGGAACCAGACAAGTTGATACAATAATGAAATAACGAAATTAATATTTTAATTGGATTCGTTTTGTAACAGCCAACAATGGATCAAATAATTAATGTAATTCATTACTGTATTATTAGAAAGCAGATGCGGCGAGACAGAAGCACATGCACCATTAAATGATCAACTCCATGAAACTTCCATCTCTCTATCTCTTTCGTTTCATTCCAAGCAGCTATATAAACTAATGTCACATCCCTCAGTTTCCATCAACAATATACATCAGACACCTACAAATTAAAATGAAGTTTTCTTACGGTACAAGATTCGCCTTCTTGGCTCTCTCCCTCTTTGCGCTACAATCTGTATGCGTTTATGCGGGTAGCTTCCACAAAGACGTTCAGATACATTGGGGTGATGGCCGTGGAAAGATTCACGACAATGAAGGAAAACTTCTTTCTCTTTCTCTTGACAAATCCTCTGGATCTGGTTTTCAATCCACTCAAGAGTTTCTTTATGGCAAAGCTGAGGTTCAAATGAAGCTTGTCCCTGGCAACTCTGCTGGAACAGTCACAACTTTCTATGTAAGTAACATATTGTATCTAAGCATTTCTTGTCATAGTTTACTATACGTTTGATTACATACAGTTATTGAGTGTGTTGGTGTTTTATGATGACTTTGTGTAGCTTAAAGCGCCTGGAACTATGTGGGACGAGATAGATTTTGAGTTCTTGGGAAACATAAGTGGTCATCCTTATACTCTCCACACTAATGTTTACACAAAAGGTTCAGGAGACAAAGAACAACAGTTTCATTTATGGTTCGACCCAACCGTTGGCTTTCACACTTATTGCATCACATGGAATCCCCAAAGGATTATGTAAGCCCCTCTTTTGATCCCTTATATTCTCATATGTTTTGAGGTTATATGTTCATAAATCAATATTCTCTTCTTTTTTTTTCCTGTCACAGCTTTACAGTTGATGGCATTCCCATTAGAGAGTTCAAGAACTCTGAGCCGATTGGTATCCCATTCCCAAAAGACCAACCAATGAGAGTCTACGCCAGCCTTTGGGAGGCCGAACATTGGGCTACAAGAGGAGGATTAGAGAAAACAGATTGGTCCAAGGCTCCTTTCACTGCTTTCTACAGAAACTACAATGTGGAAGGATGTGTTTGGGCTAATGGAAAATCATCTTGCCCTGCGAATTTCCCATGGTACACTCAGACACTCGACCAGAGTGGCTTAGATAAAGTGAAATGGGCGCAGAGTAAGTACATGGTCTATAACTATTGCACCGATACAAAAAGGTTTCCTAAAGGTGTTCCTAAAGTGTGCACTTAAATTATTGATTCTTTGATTCGTCAATAAGCTACTGGCTTTGTCTTTGTAACTTAAATGAGTTTTATTTATTCTGTTTCATTCATTTGTGGCTCATGTATGTGTGTGTGGTGGTGTATGTGCAAGATTTTTAAATTAATATATAAGTGAATAACAAATTATGGAACAAGGGTTTTCGTTACTTAAACTTTATTGGATCCACTTGATTTGTGAAATTTATAAATTATGAGACCACTGATAAATTCATTACTAAAATTACACAACAATTCTTGAAAAGCACATAAATAAATAAAATAGTTTTACTACTCGACGTCAAAATCGGATCACGAGCTTTCGTTGTTAATTTATATTATATGGCCAGGCTACAATGCGTGTACAAGATCATGTCAAGGACCCATGATCCTGAAAGTGGATCACAATTGTTTTCTTAATCTCATAATTAATTATTTAGTATGGTAGTTTGTCAACGAGAAAATGACTAGAATAGCACTAAAAAAAGTTTTTGTCACAAATATAACACTTAAGAATAAAAATGACCAAAATAGCATTTAATGTTTTATTAAATATACATTTTTACCCATTGGGTTAACTAATCCTAAACTTTTTTGTTTAGAGTTGAGGAGTGGGGTTTTGAGAGTAGGGTTTCAAATTTTTAAAAATAGAAAAAACTGAAAATTTTCAAAATAAAAAATGCTATTTTAGTCATTTTAATTTTTGAGGTCTATTTTTGTGATAAAAAGTTAAAAAGTGCTATTTGAGAGAATTGTCCATTGTCAACGTAGGGAGCAATTTGTCAAAACTAAATTTCATATACTCTATATTCTCTAATAAACTAACGCGTCCACGCCAGGATGTTATTTATACTAATCGTCAAAGCTTTTGCTATTATTTTTACCCGAACAAAGTAAATTTCTTATGTTTTTTTTAGTTTAGCAAGTGGTTTCAACCATTATGTATTGAACTCATATTCTGTTTGAATGAATCCTATTGCTGTTCGAGATATGATTTTAAGCAGCATTATAAATGCGGGATATACCTTGTTTTTTCATAAATCATGGTGAAATGAAAGTAGTTGAGAAGTATAAAATTGGATTATTGTTAGAATGCAAATATTAATATATCATGTTCAAAAATATACAGTATCATTTCCCCAAAAAATAAAAAATACAGTATATTAATATATTCGAACCCTCTATTCGGCGGGGAGGGTTTACGCTGAGGTCAAAAGTCGAAGCCGTGTTGACAAAATGATTTCGTTACATTCAGAATGCGGGACCAGCATATGATATGCAAATTGTCTATATACATTATTTTCTCTGTATTGTAACAAATAGACGAGTAATGAAATTATATTCTATTGAATTATTTTGTAAAAACCAACAAGAGGTCGAATGCGCCAACTAGAATACAGCACATTACCAATAATCAAACCCCATGAAACTTCCCTCTCCTTTTCCTTTGCCATTTTCCAGCAGCTATATAATCTCATGTCACTTATCTCAATTTTCCATCAACAAAAACATTCGAGATATCAATACTCCTCTAGAAGTCTATAACAAGATGAAGTTTTCTTGCGGCACAAGATTCTCCTTCTTGGTTCTCTTTCTCATTGCAGCACAATCTGTTGCTGTATATGCGGGTAGCTTCCATAAAGACGTTCAGATACATTGGGGTGATGGACGTGGAAAGGTTCGTGACAGAGATGGAAAGCTTCTTTCTCTCTCACTCGACAAATTCTCTGGTTCAGGTTTTCAGTCCCATCAGGAGTTTCTTTATGGCAAAGTCGAGGTTCAGATGAAACTTGTCGCTGGTAACTCTGCTGGAACAGTCACAACATTCTACGTACGTTACATACCATTTCAAACATATTTGGTCTTTTTTTCCTATTTTCTAGATTACATATAATTAATGAGTATGTTGGTGTTTTATTGATGACTTTGTGTAGCTTAAAGCGCCGGGAACTATGTGGGATGAGATTGATTTTGAGTTCTTGGGAAACATAAGTGGTCATCCATATACTCTCCATACTAATGTTTACACACAAGGCTCTGGAGACAAAGAACAACAATTTCACTTGTGGTTTGACCCAACAAAGAACTTTCACACTTACTGCATCACATGGAATCCCCAAAGAATTATGTAAGTAGATTATTCCATTCTTTGCACATCAATCTTATTTATTTTGAGGCTATATATAATCTCATGAACTTTTAACTCAGATCAATGGACCATTAGTGGATATTGTCACATGTTCTCTTAAAATGTTATAATTTCTAGGTCTCAGTACATTCTTTTGATGTAGGAGTCCTAATACGTTTTGTTTTGTTTCTTGTTTTTCAGTTTTACAGTTGATGGCATTCCTATTAGAGAGTTCAAGAACTCTGAGTCAGTTGGAGTTCCATTCCCAAAGAATCAGCCAATGAGAGTCTATGCAAGTCTTTGGGAAGCAGAGCATTGGGCCACAAGGGGAGGATTGGAGAAAACAGATTGGTCAAAAGCTCCTTTCACTGCTTTCTACAGAAACTACAATGTGGAAGGATGTGTATGGGCTAATGGAAAATCATCTTGCCCAGCGAATTCTCCATGGTTCACTCAGACACTCGACCAGAGTGGCTTGGATAAAGTGAAATGGGCACAAAATAAATACATGGTCTATAACTATTGCACCGACAAAAAGAGGTTTCCTCAAGGTGTTCCTTCAGTGTGCACTTAAACTACCGATTCTTTGATTCGTGAATAAGTTACTTGACATTGTCTTTGTAACTCAAAAGAGGTTTTATCTATTGTTTTTCATTCATTTGTTGCTCATATTATGTCCGTTGTGGTGTTTGTTTAAGATTTTTTAAGTAATAATAAATAATAAATTATGGAAACAAAAGTTTTTCGTTACTACAACTTTATTGATTTCACTAGAGTTGTAAAGTTCTTCAACATTTAGAGAGGTTCAAAATCTAGTTGAATATTTGGGAAGAACATAAA